CACGAAAATGTACCTGTCGCTTGCATAATTTATTTGTCGTGAAAGTACCGCTTCCCAGGTACGTCACAGTATGTTAGTTTAGTTATCAAATATGTTTAGTGGGTGTTAATCTGAAAAAAAAAATGTAATATTAGGAGAACGGTCAATGGACTTTACTCCTCTCATGTTATTAAAACAGTATGTAATTTTGCCAAATGTTTGTACCCAAAGAAATTGCAAAATAAAATATTATTATAAAAAACGTGGCGTTGTGCGCGCGCGTGTGTGCAGGTACGCGCGCGAGGGCGGCGCGGGCGGCGCGGGCAGGTGCGTGCCGGTGTGCTCGCCCGGGTGCTCCGCGGGCGCCTTCTGCTACCGCCCGGGCGTGTGCCAATGCCTGCGCGGCTACGTGGACGCGGGCGGAGTGTGCGAAGCGCAGTGCGCCGCTGGCTGCGTCAACGGCCGCTGCTCCGCCCCCAACTACTGCGAGTGCCTGCCTGGCTTCGTCTACGCCTCGCCCGCCGGTCAGCTCACACTTCCACTATTTGCATCCATTACTTACGTGGATTCCGTCTGGGGTCTGGATTAATTCCACATGTTTTACATAATACTTTACAAGTATTTGCTGCGCGGATATTATTTGGAATTATTAATTGAGAAAATGCTACTTATTTGATTTTTAACTATATCGTACTAAATAACAAAGGAGAATACGTATTCTTACCAGAAAAAAACAACATTCGAGCATATCCACATAACTAAACGTAAGTGTCTATCTTATTAGCATGAGAATGTTAGAAACAGGTCCACCAATACGTAATAGACCAATACTTCAGATTATCATTCAGATACCACAACATAACATTGTAAAACGGAAATATACTCGTCTATAGAATTTTTCTTGTAATTTAGAGTATAACGTAGAGAATGTTCATGGTCATTTCTGACACCAACCGCATAAAAAAAACAAAGTAATTTCAACAAAAAAAATAATAAACCGAAAAGATTGCAACACAAGCAAAACTGGACGTAAATAGCATATCTAAAAAGAGAAGTTCATGTGAATAATTTTCAGAGTGTTGCAAAATATTATTTGCGACTGTAATCACAAACAATCCCAACCAGAGTAAGTGTTAAAAGGTCGTTCATAAATTACATAATATTAAAGAGGGGTGATGAAGTTTGAGGGTGTTATGCTGCGTTGCATAGGGGCAAAGGTTGCTAGTTTAGTCTTGCATATTTCTAATTTTTAATTTTTTAAAAAAAGATTTCAACATGAGCTGCTTTTTATTGTTTTTAATCGATTGTGTGTGCGCGCGCGCGCGCGCGTGTGTGTGTGTGTGAGTGTGCGAGAGAGAGAGAGAGAGAGAGAGAGAGAGAGAGGGAGAGAGAAGGGACATCCAGCAGCTGATACTGACTTGTGAATAATTTACATATCTATTAGCATACCACGCAATAATCCACCAAATCCGACATTACCAAAAAGTATGAATTTCAACTGAAGGCGGTATTTTGTACTCTTTCACAAAGAAGTCGTGAAAGTGTTAGTTAAAGTAAACTTGATTATGTAGCGGAGGTTCTGGATTGGAATTGTCATCCCTCGCCCGCAGTGCCTGGCGCGTGCGTGCCGGCGTGCGGCGGGCGTCACTGCTCGGGCCACGGGCGCTGCGACGCAGCACGTGACACGTGCGTGTGCGACGCGGGCTACTCGCCGCCCGCGGGGCCGCGCGCGCACGCGTGCCAGCCGCACTGCGAGGGCGGCTGCGGCGCCGGCGGGCGCTGCGTGGCACCCGCCACGTGCCGCTGCGACGCCGGCCACGCGCAGCGCGACGCCGCCTCGGCGTGCCACCCCGTCTGCCCCGGCGGCTGCCCCGACGGCCGCTGCGTCGCGCCGCACACGTGAGTGGCCCACGGCGCCTCCTCGCCTGAGTTCATCTCCGTCTCGCATCCTACGATTGGAGTCCCGACAGCGGCGGATAGTTAGATAGCTAGGTCTAATTCAAACATGACTGCAGGAGAATTTTTGCGACCGGCGTACCAAATTAGTGCCCCACCCTCCATTGACGTCAAAATTTCTGTTTTTAAATTTAACGGATTATAGAATACCTTATCCTGGCAATGTTAAATGCTTGAGTCTCAGAATCTATTAAACTTATGAAATTTTTACATGATGCTGATATTTCACCCACTGAAATAACGTTTTTGAAAAATAGGTACTATTTTTGTATATACAAGTATTTTATCATAATCCAATTTTTTTGTTTTCTGGTAAATAACGTTCTGTAGAATGGATAATACTAAGGTAATCAGAAAAAAATAGTTTCAGTAAATGTAGGAAATCTTTATTAACAACTGAAAGTTTCATTTTCTTACTAGAAATGTAAGGAGAGAATTGTCAAATTGGTATAAAAAGCTCAGCCTTCGGGAAGTGACTTTAAAGATGCAATCATCACAACACGCCAACTCGATAAGTTGCCGAATAAGAATAATCATTTTCCAATCACTAATTATTTTTGTCACATTTTTTATGTAAGTCAGCTTTACAACAAAGTTTTCAATTTACTTTCTATATTTATAAGACTTTCAGTATTTTCGCCCCGTTATGTGACAATATCTAAAAGCATTGGAGCCATCACTTATGCTTAATGAAAGGACTTCACCTATGAATAATAAAAATATATACTTGTAAGAATGATATCAACGTACTTAAAATGTTAATTTAAAGAAAAAATTATGGATATTTGTGAAAAGTAAAATACAAAAAAAATATTCCTTGACCGCAAAACCATTCCATTTCCCGTTAGGAAATGTAAAATTTTGCAGCATTGACTTGAAGCCATTTTCAACACTAATGTCATCGATAATCGTGATGTTAATTGTAAATTCGCTAGATGAAAGTAGTTGGTCATAGACTGCTATCGCTTTATCACTGCTATGTGACAGAGTGGAAGAGCAGAGACCCTGCCTTCTTCGCAGATGCGAGTGCAACCCTGGCTTCGAGCGCAGCGACGACAACGCGGGCACGTGCCGTCCGCTGTGCGAGCGTCCGTGCGTCAACGGCACGTGCGTGGGGCCGCACACGTGCCGCTGCGCGCCGGGCCACCGGCCGACGCACGGGGACTCCTCCGTGTGCGAGCTCGACGCCACCCCCGCGCCCCCGGCGCCCCCCACGGCGCCTCCGACGCCCCAGTCGGCCTCTGCGCTTTCATCGACTGGGGTGACTCCTTCCTCCCCACCCCCGCCTGCGTCCGTTCCTGGGACTGCAACGCAAACTGCCCTGCGTGGGCAGGAAGCCGCCGTCGCAGAGGCCAGCGTTCTGCCCTCGTAAGTGCAAGAGCAGTCTCGTAGTGGAGTAATGGTCGAACGCGGCTGAGCAGGGGAGAATAAAACTACAGTTCACTTTGCTACGTGTAACGGATAGGTGCGCAGTGTTCGGAAGAAGCATTTTAACGACCATAACGGACTTCCTACACGCTTTTTTAAAAATGTTCTTCAATTTCAAACCATAAATCTCAGCGGTAAAAAACGTATGGCGAAATATCAATATTTCTTTCGCAATGAAAATGCCATTATAAACTTCCTCTCTGGTTGGTACTCAACTAATCATGTAATATGAACTACAATAAAAATCAACAATTCTAATGGTAAGTAAAGTGTATGTCGTTAATTCGTAAGTTCGTATTAATTTTTAACGCACCAAGTACGAATTGTCTAGTAGGACTATCACCTTTTGTACCAACAACCACAGAATCTCCAACAACCACAGACCAACAATTACAGACTTTCTAGTTGCAAAATTCAATACCCTCTAAAATGACACTCAACCTTACACCCACAACAGAAATTCGTCGACGTCACAATCACAATGACGCCGTAGCCGGATGCATGAGCCACCAATGTTATAAATAAATGCCAATGATCCCCTTGCCTCTGCCACTCATGGCTAGCGAGCTTCCTTTCCATGCCATGACCTTGGGTTGATTCCCGGGCGAGGCAAAAATGAAAACTGTTGAATTTCTCTGTCACGTTCCAGTCACAGTTCATATAGCTGGTTGACAATGAGAAACCTTCTTGCCAATGGAGGACACCAAATAGAGGGCGTAAGCGGTGGCGACCTGCTTTCCACAGGCCTCTCGAACCCATGTCCGTCAGGTTGGGTCGCCCCGGCATGGCCACAGTCTGACTAGATAGGTGCGCCAGAATACATACATAAATGACAGCACATTAATGATTCTTGCATTAATCCACAGTCCATCACATCATGTGAGCAAAACTTTCTCACAACAAACCTGCGCTTATCAAATAATGCACACGATCTGAAATTAATAAGTAATATAACTAATAAGTCACATTGGATAAATATTAACTTTTGCAATATAAAGGTGCGGGCGTCCGAGGCTTACCTATAATTGTTTTTTTAGGGTTTCAATATTTCTAAGACGCTGAAAAATATTTAAATTAGTTATACGATTTTGATCAAAATGATACAATTTATCACAAGTATGTGTTAAAATTTGAGTTATTACAGTGTCTTTGGATGTGAGTCAAAAATCCGAACTTTTCACTCAAAAATTGAACATTCTGAGTACATTTCTGAAATGTTTGTACCATTTTAAGTCTTACTATAATACAGTTTAATATCGTCCTTTTTTGACGTACAAATGTAATAGGTTTATTCATTAAACACAAATATTTATAAGAAAAAATCTCTTCATTTGGAGTACCACAAATTGCCAGACACGCAAATTATTTTGATTAAATGAACGTACATATCCATTATTAGCTAAATCAATTAATTTGTTTATAAACATCTTGAAAATTTGATTAAAAATCAAACTTGTATCGTTGTGCTCCGAAGGCTCTCCCTTGCAATGCACGAAATCAATTACTCCCTGTTATTGCATGTTAATTGGATGTGTCTCAACTTACGAGATGAAGATTTTTCTGGTCATTAATGAACCAATTTTGCGAATCGACTCTCCTTTAATGAAGCACATTTCTAAGTATGACCCCTCGTAGTTATTTTTGACGCAGTTCTAAATTTCAGTGTTCAATCTACTTACTCTTTCCTATTTGTATGAAGGGACTGATGACTAGGAATTTAAACTAATGCAATATGTTCCTCGTTAACCTCGAGAGACATTGCATGCGTCCGAAATAACCGTTTCTCATTGGATTTACTGCAATTCTTCTACTTTCGGGAGCACTGTCTATCTTCATTTATTCCGTAATGGAAGAGACAAGAATGAGAGATTTATTTCGAAGTCTTATTTCCTATCTTTTCGTTTCGTTTTGGAACCCTTCACATAATTCAAATTCATTTATTTTGTCCTTTGAAAACCGTACGCTCAGTCTGCCTAACCAGCACCTTCTAATCGCCTTCACTTCCTTCCGGAAAATAAAGCAAATAGGTGTTTGTATATTGATGTTTCTAAACAATCTGTAAACGTGCACCAATCCTACTCCTTCGTGTCATACTACTAATTCAATAAAATGCTGACTTACTGTTCAAAGTATCTTCGTTCACTTCAAGATTCGAAGCAAAATATTATATTTAAAAAATGTGTTTCTATATTTGCCATTTACTTAATTGCTTTAGTGATTAGCATAACGAGAAAACAAACAGAGAAAAAGAACAAGTGAAGATAAATAAAGGAAGTCTGTCAGAAATCGCTCTTGACTGCGTTTGTTCAGTAAAATAACTACTTATCAATTTCCCCTTTAGATTAAAAGTTACTGTAGGGTAGTAGGTAAGATCGTAAAGCAGTGTCTTAAAAATGAATGGAACATTTGCCAAAAACTTATCACTATTTTGTTGTAAAACTAATTCCGGAAATGAGGAATTGCTAGTTTGCCTCAAGCGCTGATGTGAGCGCTTTGAATTGCGTTGGGGAGAACGAGGTGGAGTTTGCCGGGCACGAACTTCAGGCAACACACCGCTTGTGTATGAAGCACGAGTAGGGGGGAGTATTAGGTATTTTATTCTGGGCGAGCCGTAGCATGGCGAGGACGACTGACGTGTTGCAGCCGCAAGGACGCCGTCATTGATTCGTTGATAAGTGATTCCTCTGATTGGTAAGAAGATCGTTAGTCCCTTAAGTGTAGTGCCTGCATTTTCCTATGGAGGTGGCGGTGATCTTTCCCCGCTGGATGGTGAGATCCGGCGCTGACCTTCCGTCGGCTAGCGGGGTTTTCCACAACCAGGTATCTCCCACCAGTGGGGCACCGCCCCAGTCGGAACAAGCTCTAAATTCCCGACCGAACTCCCGGAATGTATGATTAGGGTTGTATTGCTCCGGCTTTGGAGTGGCACCTGATGTGGAGTGGTGGAGGTTGGAGAAACCAAGAAAGACTACCGATCAGAGCACCTAAATTCTCTTCCAAACAGCGACTGGATTCCACCTAGCTGACCTAGGACCTCCCGGTCAGAAGCACTGCATTGACTTCAGGTGATGTCCTGAACCATCTCTCCTTGTTTAGCCACTTGTGCGGTGTTTCCACGCATAGGCATTGTATAGATAGTTCCATTTTGTCCGTAATTAACTGATTAAACGCTTTCAGGTAGAGTATAAAACGAGAATTGCTGCTTCATGCTTCTTGAAGCGTCCAAGAATCAAATTAGAAAAAAAATTAATCAAACATTTGCTTTTGCGAGATTAATTTTACAGCGATAACTCTCCTTATCATTAACAAATCAGCAACAACTTTTTAGAACTTGCTCAAGTAATTCCGAACACTTTGCTGCAGCACCGATATTAGGAAGGAGGTGAGATTTGTGTTCCGGAGGTTGCACCACGCACACAAACGTACATGTACTACTATTTCACACGTTGGGAGACTGGCAGAACCTTAGAGCTTGTCCCGGATAGAGCGGTGCCTCGCTGGGGAGATAACTAGAGGAGGAAATCCCTGTAAGGCGACGAATAGGTCGACGACAGATTTCCCATCCCGGCGAAGAGAAACACCATCATCTCCTTCGGTAAACATGGATTACACTTACGGGACAAATGATCACAGCTGATGACGCATCAGAACCCTAAATTCTTCCTCTCACTCGAGGATTTCGCTGCACTAAATTTACTGCGCTAACCTTGTACACGGAGATTACTATAAGAAGGGACAGCTTTGACAGGTACCAGCCTGTTCCTGTCAACAGTACAGGCACCTGACAGGTACCTTACAGGTACTGCCTGGCCATTGCTGGCAATATAACGGCAACGGCCATGCACTCATTTTGTGATTGCGTTCGCTTACAGTTGCAAAGTGGTTCATCGCTATCTCTTGCAATGTCGTCGCCCTGCAGGACGTTCATTTGTCTCCCGGCCTGCCAAAGCGGTCCCTCCTTAGAGTAATTCCGGAAGGCGGCGCTGAAGAGAAGGGGCCGTGGTGGTGCTTGTGATGCGCAGGTGGCTGCGGTTGGAGGAGTGCGGGCCCGACTGCGCGCTGGCAGCGGCAGTGACGGCGCTGGTGTTGGCGCTGGTGGTGCTGCCGGCAGTGGCCAAGCTGGTGGGGGCGCTGCGGCGACGGCAGAGGGGCCGGCGCGCCAGCGATGGCCAGCCGTTGTGGCTGTGAGCGGCGCTGAGTGCGCGTCCTCAGGGAAATGCAAACGGAAGAAGAAAAAATGCGGTCACACGGAAAACAATTACAGCTCCTTCAGTGTGCATCTGTCAAACTCTTCCCGTATTACGAGAAATCGCTCCTCTAAGCCTAAGGATATCCTCAAATCATCTGTACTTCACATCTTGGGGGAAAGATGTTTTTAAGGGAAGTCCTCCATCGTGCGTAGACAATAAGCGTGTGTTGATTTTAACCTGTTATATACATGTGTCTGTAACCTGAAAATCTAGAAACCTTAATGGTAGACTTTTTAACACTTGTGGTTCACCTATAACTGAACCATTAATTTCAGAAGTATCTTTTTTTTCTTTGTTTTTGAGAAGACATCTCTCAAGGGTAATAACAGAAATAAAAATGACTGAGGATTTCTAATCCCTCATAATTGCACGACATCGAAGTGAGCACATACCCGACTTTGTTAATATTGTAATATGTTATTATTGATATTATTAATATTGTAAGATGTCATCGACTTCAAAGTAGTTTCTACTTTACTTAAAAATTTAATTCAGAAAAAGTAATAGTTTAGTATCTAAGTTTACTTTTCAGAATTATTTATCTAATACGGTAAGGAAAGTTTAGCAAGACTGATTAGAATGAAAAGAAAACAAGATGGCTGCAATTCAGTTTTGAAATTTTAATAGTGTAAATTTGTGAACACTAAGTGTGAAATTAATTGGAAACCAGTGCTAAACATAGATGAATAAATCATCTGCTGTTATTTTTGAATAATTTTGAATGTGTTTTGTGTTTAAAACGTTTTTCAAGCAAACTTTTATCTGACAGGGCTTAGAGCTGATAAAATTACATTATACTTTAATTAATGTTTAATGCAGCACCAAACAATAGAATCAGTATCCGTATTTTTTTTAATTTACGCTGAGACTTATATTATTATTTAAGCTCCCTAATTTAATGTACACTCCTCGGGTATTAACTTCAGTATGTGCGCACTTGCATAGATCATGTAAATAAAGCTAGTTGCTGACT